TATATAAAAATAATAATAATAAATAATAATAATAATATACAGTAACAAAATTTGGTCTGTACTGACAAAATCATGACCAAACTCACATGCAATAGAACGGTTCTATTAGCAAGCTAAACTTGGATTTGAGATGGCCCAACGTAATAACACCTACTGTATTCAACATAGAATCCCAAACGGTGGATCCAACAACTTGAAAAAATAAAACTTATCTTCTGCAAATCCAAAACGACTTTGTCTGAACCTAGGGGACGTCTGAAATCCAATGGATTATCATCAATTTCCCCATCAAAATTGCCCTCAATTGGGGGTAATGTTAGTAAAGCAATGGTATACCATACCTTTTTTCCCCACAAATGGGTGGTTTCTATGGTGTAAACATGTATAAACCATCAAAAATATGGGTGGCTTTTTATTGGTTTACTAACATTACCACCTCATTTTTGGACAACCTCCACATCTCTCACGGCTCCCGGCAGGTCGCCGCTACCGGTTGTGGACACCGTGGTGGTTCCGGTGGTACTTCCGGTGGTACTTCCGGTGGTACTTCCGGTGGTTCCCGTGGCGCCAGCGAGGCCCGAGTTCTGAGCTGCGCGGAGCAGATCGCCGTTCAAAGTGATCGTGCCTGGTCAAGGGACACGGCGGCTTTTGCGGCACGTTTTTTTCGGGCGGTTGACTGAAAAAACCATCGGCTCCTGGAGGTTTTTGTCGCTGAACCCATGGAGAATTTTCATCGGTTGGGGAAGTCACGGAACTATGGGGGATTTTCAAGCCACGAATACTGAAAGGTATCTTGGTTTACATGCTTTTCTTCAATGTTTCAAGCATCACAGTATCTGTCACAGATCCAACAAAAAACGGATGCTACACTGATTGAGGTACGGTAAATTGATGTATGAATCTATCCTGATTGCTCTTATGATTTCTGATTCTCTCGTCTTTTGTGACATGGGGTCATGGAGCGCCTCCTTCTACATAAAGAGAACCCTAACTTTCATCCATTGGGAATAACTTCAATGCCTTTGTTTGGATCTATGACATACTGGTATCCTCTTGTTTCTCAACTATAACCGATCATATATTCAATAGAAGATTCCTGTTTTTCACATACTCACAGTTGTCTTCTCTGATTTGTATCTTTTCCCGGGAAAAAAGCTTGGTTTCATCATATTCTTGTTCAATTCTTCTTGCTTTGCCATCTGCGCTTTGCTGACAACACAACTTCAGCTAGATGCGGATTCGTGGGATCACATCCAGTGTCAAACTTGGGTACAAACATTCCCAGATGCGCCACGTATGGCATATTTACCTACATTGGGTTGATTTTTGGGGTAAATGTAGGTAAATATTCCATACATGGAGCATATGGGATTGGATGGTTCACAAAAATAGGTGTCGGAATCTGTGGTGGCCTCCAATTTTGACCACCATTTTCGACCAGGGTTCCCGGACTGGTCAACGTTGACAGACACATGGAACAAAATCACCATGCTAAGCTGGGTAAATCAACAAAATATCACAAAGGGCGGCTTCAAGTTCGCAAACCGTCACGATCAGTCCCAGAGGGTATATCATTAAAATTCACTAGATCCCATTAAAAACCATGAAAAACACCATGAAACAAACCATTAAACACCATGCAAAAACCCATTAAACCTCCATTAAACATATTGAATGATCATCCCTGCTGAACCCCACTCTTTCCCATCACCCAGGTCACCCAGGAGGACATAGTTCACCCCCATGAAAAACCTAATCAGCAGAGGGTAAATTTATATATATATATATATATCATTTCATTGTTCACCATTGTTAACCCATTGTTAGACATTAAATCACCATCAAATCACCATTAAATCACCATTTTTATAGTGGTTAAATTACCATAGTTCCACCCCTGGTCTCAACTGATGGCTTCCACCAAGCTGCTGATGGCCACCCAACTGCCGGAGTAGTAGTCATCAATGGCCTGACTTTTGGAAAAACCCACCGACAGTCGCATCGAATTTTTGACGTCCAAAAACCTATGTCAATGGCCATTTCTTGTAAATTGGAGGTACTTACCATATATAAGGCCTATGTAAGGGGATATACCCACAAAATATGGCCTTCTATGGTACAGTACCTCCATTTTAGGATCCTGGAATTCCCATTGACTATGGAGATAAACCAAAAACATATGATGATACACAGGAACTATGAATGATATGATATGGAAACAAAAATCAATTTTTGATTTCCAAACAGTTTGAGTCCATAGGAAACTATGTCCAAAAAAATATGTTGTATATATTGCCAACAATCTTTTGGACTTCCAAACAACACCTGTGATGATACACAGGAATTGTATCGAAAGACCTGTACATTTTTTTTTAAGGATCATAAGACGTCTAAAATACTGTATACACAAACACATGGATATATGCGGTTGAGGTAAATGTTACAAGGATCCTATTTGGTGCATAATTTCGAAGTAAAGCCAATTTGTTTTGGTGTTTGAAATAATTGGGGGTTCAAAATACTGAGCCAACTTAGTATTATTCTTATTTACTATAACGTTGTAAACGCAAGGTGATAGCTGGAAACCCACCGTCTTATGGTCATATCAGGGATGGCTCTTGTTGTGTCTACTACACTAAACAGGATTTCTTGTATATCGAAACACCTTTACAGAATCATAAGATATTATATATATGTATATATATATGTGCTCTTATCATGTTCATGCGTTTACAATTTATGATCAACTCAATTATAGTGGACAAATGAACACCATCAACACTCATTTTGTTGTTGGGGGGTCTCCGGTCTGGGGGCCTTACTTCTCTGGATGGTGGAAAACGAGCCAGCCCTTGAAGAAAACATGCGAAAGTCATTGGGGGATATCATCCCAGTTCTATGCATGAAAAATGAAACCACAAGCCAGCTATGATGATTGCAACATACCCTCTGGTAAACTAACATAACTATGGAAAATCACCATTCTTAATGGGAAAATCCACTATAAATAGCCATTTTCAATAGCTATGTTAAATTACCAGAGGGTAATTGCATGGACGATGTTTCTTTTCCACTCCAAGTTTGGTAGTTAGCTCCCAATTCTGGCTGGTCAATGATCAAAACTGGGGTCGTTTGAACTAGCCATGACTTCCAAATACTCTCAAACATGGCATCCTCTCAAGTTCCAATTGTCGGTGCTTTCCTGATTAAAATATGCCCTCCTGTTGGGTCAGTTCAAGATGGCGTTCAGTCTGATCAGTTCCAATGTCCACGGAGGAGGCATAAAATGACGTCATGATTCCAACATGAAAAAATGTGATCCTAAAGTCACTATCCCTCACTATCCCCCGTGATGATCTTTTACCCGTTGGTAATCTAACGCTGTTTGTCAATGATCATAGTCTTAACAGCTACATCATCCACACATGTCGACTGTCTTTTGGGATGATGCCCCAATCTTTGCTGACAAAATATCCTGATTTTTGGAATATTTTTGGTGGGTCAACCTGACTTCCCAATTTTTTTTTTTCACAATGCACTGGGGTAGTTTTTCCACAAGAATTTCCACACATATTCTCCATCATTGCTGATTACACGCCCGGGAAATCTACATTTTGACAGGCGAAATCCACAAATCAACTATAGAAATTCCATCAAAATCCCGATTGAATCCCATGAAATCTCAATTTTTGATGGGTCAAATCCGAAAAAAACACCATTTTGGATGGATTAAATCGGTGAAATCACATGAAACATTCCCATTTTGGATGGGTTTTGCACAGGGTGAAACTCTGAAATCCCATGAAAAATCCACATCTTCTCCTGCTGAAATCCCATCAAAAGGCGCCTTGCTGGCCACCCTTTCGCCCGCAGAGTCGATCAACTCCTGTTGTCGCCCGGAATCCACCTAGGGGAACCAGCAGAGACCCATTTAGGCGACCAGTTTCCTGGCTTTTTTTCTCCAAAAATGGTGATTTAAACATGGAAAACATGTGCTTTAACTGTTTTAACCCGGAAAAATCTAGATGTATCCATGAAAAATGGTGATTTAAGCATGATCAATGGCGAGTTCACCATGAAACATGGAGAAACGTAGCGAACTCGAAAATACATTCAAATGGTATGTGGATATCATGAAATATATAGTAGAACTATTTAAGGGCTTTACCCGCTAAAAGTGACATAGCGAAATGGAACATCTCCATTTTTCAGAGGTTTGTCTCAACTGTAAATGGGGCATGTTCAATAGCTATGTGACATAGGCGATGCGAACTTACTATAAGCAAATCGACATAACATAGAAACTGGTATAGTGGGATATAACGGGGAATAACCAACCATAACTGGAATATGACGGGGATATGATGGGATCCCCTACCCTTCAGTGTCATCAAACATCAAAAAAGCCGGAAATCCCCGAAGTAAAAACCAGATCTGAAGTCTGAAGAAGAGTTTTTTTAATCTGATTATGATCTTTGTTCCTATGATAATCATCTGAAACATGCTGAAACCATCCACACGTAATTACATAGGCAAGTCTCTTTTGATGCGACGATTTACTGTTGTTTGGCAGCCGTCTCAGATTCATCCCCATGTTTTGTCTTGCAATCCTGATGACAACTGTTAGATTGACTGTTAAGCTTGTGGTTGTCCCAAACACGGAGAGGACCAACGATTCAATCCCAAGAATGATGGGTGGAACACTGGCTTCTAGGCATTTCCAAAGAAAACAAGAAAGGAATCAATTTGCCATGGATTTATCATGGATTTATATGGATTTACCATGATCATTGAGACCTTCCCTGGCCTTACCGGTTTCCAGCTGTCATCCAATGTCTCCCGTCTCATTATGTCTCCCTTTCCCACCGCAGGCACGGAGTTGGAGGGGCAAACCAAGGAGGTGAAGGTGGGACCAGCCATGAACATGTTCCAAGACCTGAGGATGACACCGAAGCGTCCAGTAACATCATGTAACATCCCCATAAGGATCCACAGGGATCATCCGTATAGTCTAGGAACTATAGTTGTACCCTCTAGTAAACGTTTCCAGAAAACTATGGAAAGATCCACCATTTTTCAGAGGTATCTAGTAAACGTTTCCAGAAAACTATGGAAAGATCCACCATTTTTCAGAGGTATCTAGTAAACGTTTCCAGAAAACTATGGAAAGATCCACCATTTTTCAGAGGTATCTAGTAAACGTTTCCAGAAAACTATGGAAAGATCCACCATTTTTCAGAGGTATCTAGTAAACGTTTCCAGAAAACTATGGAAAGATCCACCATTTTTCAGAGGTATCTAGTAAACGTTTCCAGAAAACTATGGAAAGATCCACCATTTTCAGAGGTATCAGTAGGTATCTAGTAAACGTTTCCAGAAAACTATGGAAAGATCCACCATTTTTCAGAGGTATCTAGTAAACGTTTCCAGAAAACCATGGAAAGATCCAACATTTTTCAGAGGTATCTAGTAAACGTTTCCAGAAAACTATGGAAAGATCCACCATTTTTCAGAGGTATCTAGTAAACGTTTCCAGAAAACTATGGAACGATCCACCATTTTTCAGAGGTATCTAGTAAACGTTTCCAGAAAACTATGGAAAGATCCACCATTTTTCAGAGGTATCTAGTAAACGTTTCCAGAAAACTATGGAAAGATCCACCATTTTTCAGAGGTATCTAGTAAACGTTTCCAGAAAACTATGGAAAGATCCACCATTTTTCAGAGGTATCTAGTAAACGTTTCCAGAAAACTATGGAAAGATCCATCATTTTTCAGAGGTATCTAGTAAACGTTTCCAGAAAACTATGGAAAGATCCACCATTTTTCAGAGGTATCTAGTAAACGTTTCCAGAAAACTATGGAAAGATCCACCATTTTTCATTTTTCAGAGGTATCTAGTAAACGTTTCCAGAAAACTATGGAAAGATCCACCATTTTTCAGAGGTATCTAGTAAACGTTTCCAGAAAACTATGGAACGATCCACCATTTTTCAGAGGTATCTAGTAAACGTTTCCAGAAAACTATGGAACGATCCACCATTTTTCAGAGGTATCTAGTAAACGTTTCCAGAAAACTATGGAAAGATCCACCATTTTTCAGAGGTATCTAGTAAACGTTTCCAGAAAACTATGGAACGATCCACCATTTTTCAGAGGTATCTAGTAAACGTTTCCAGAAAACTATGGAAAGATCCACCATTTTTCAGAGGTATCTAGTAAACGTTTCCAGAAAACTATGGAAAGATCCACCATTTTTCAGAGGTATCTAGTAAACGTTTCCAGAAAACTATGGAAAGATCCACCATTTTTCAGAGGTATCTAGTAAACGTTTCCAGAAAACTATGGAAAGATCCACCATTTTCAGAGGTACTCGTAGTAAACGTTTCCAGAAAACTATGGAAGATCCACCATTTTTCAGAGGTCTCGTTCAACCCATTTTTCAGAGGTATCTAGTAAACGTTTCCAGAAAACTATGGAAAGATCCACCATTTTTCAGAGGTATCTAGTAAACGTTTCCAGAAAACTATGGAAAGATCCACCATTTTTCAGAGGTATCTAGTAAACGAGGTATCTAGTAAACGTTTCCAGAAAACTATGGAAAGATCCACCATTTTTCAGAGGTATCTAGTAAACGTTTCCAGAAAACCATGGAAAGATCCAACATTTTTCAGAGGTATCTAGTAAACGTTTCCAGAAAACTATGGAAAGATCCACCATTTTTCAGAGGTATCTAGTAAACGTTTCCAGAAAACTATGGAAAGATCCACCATTTTTCAGAGGTATCTAGTAAACGTTTCCAGAAAACTATGGAAAGATCCACCATTTTTCAGAGGTATCTAGTAAACGTTTCCAGAAAACTATGGAAAGATCCACTATTTAACTATGGCCTTTGCTATATAGCTATGTAACAAATTACCAGGGGGTAATATCCCGGTTGATCTACGAAACCAGGGTGAACCACTGGCATGATCCTCCAAGTAGTTAACAGGGGCATGTCCCAACAAATCCGAGCTAAAAGGGTTTATATACACAATACATATATATATAATATAAATATATATATATGTATATGTATACAAGTATATATCATATATATATTTATATTATATCCCTCTAGTAACACTTTGCAAATTGGGGCAAGTTGTCTGGTTTTTTTTAAATGCTCCTCAGGCTCCTTGGACAGCGGAGGATCATCACTTTGTTGTGGCCGATGCGGCAGCAGTTCTGTATCACCCCTTTGAATGAGATGGGAATACCCTCTGGTTATTGAACATAGCCATGGAACATTGCCCATTTATAGATGGTTTACCTATTAAACATGGTGATTTGCCATGGCTGTGTTAAATAACCAGATGGTAATTGTGACTGGGCAAACCTTTATCAATCCCAAATCAGAAACAAAGCCGACCAGTCCCATCCCATACCAAAATTCCTTGTAAACCAGTCGAACAGGGGCTTCGAATAATTATCCCATATTTCAATCAGTGTCTATTGTTGAAAATGAACAATATGTAGCCTCTGGTAATTTAACATAGCTATAGAACATCACCATGCTATTAATAGGTAAACGGTAAACCATCATAAATCATCTATTTTCATGGGCCATGGCTTCCATAGCAAACTGTTAGTTTACCAGAGGGTAGCCACCAACCAAATAATAAATAACAAAAAACAATGAGCCACATCAATATGCTGAAATCCACGTATGTTTCATGCTGAAAAAACTACCATTCTTTATGTAGTTATATAAATCATCATCTTTGATGATGAAATCAGCATTTGTTCATGGTAAAACCACCATTTGTTCATGGTTAAACCACCATTTTTCATGGTTAAATCACAATTTTTCACGGTTAAACCACCATGATTGCTGGTGAACTCCTCAACCTGAAGCCACCAGTCCCGAAGCGCAGTCCCAGCGACCAGCTGGGATGGATACTCTCCACCAGGCAGCCAGCGTCCACACGAAGCGTCTGAGCCCAGTTTCCTGTTGGATCAATGGGAAAACACAGCCAGATAATGACCATAATATGGTGATATGGTGATAATATGATATGGTTTAATAGGGATATGGTTGAATAGGGATATGGTTTAATAGAGATATGGTGATATGGTTGAATTTAACCAATATGGTTGAATAGGGATATAGTGATATGGTTTAATAGGGATAATCATGTCATAATAGGGGAAATTAATGACAATAATCCATAATCACCTGTATTATAATGTTCATTATTGGTTTACTGTAACAAATGTGAGAATAAAGGGATATTAGTGAGAATAACCCACGATTAAGCATCACACATGGTGACTTAGTGATACTATGGGTACCAAACTCAGTGGAAATTCACAGAAAATGGATGATTTCATGGGATGATAACTGGTGAAATATTTTGATAATAAATGCTTGATATGATTCAATGATGGGATTACAACTAACCACTTATCATTAATACATCATTCCTTTCCACATTATTGTTTGCACAACCCAGAAACTGAAACAACAACAGGGGATGGACGAACCCATACCATGTGTAATAGATTTGGGATGTTTAACCGGAGATGGGATTCAGAACACTTATGGATGATCAGAGGTTACTATGTAATGCTCATCCTACTCAAATCACTTGGCTTATATCATATGGGATTACCCTTTATACTAATGAAATTAAAGGTGACAATGGAAAATCCCCATTCAAAGATTATCTTCCCATTAAAGCAGCCATTCACTTCGGCAGTTCCCCTAACACCGGAGAGTATATGATGGGATTCTACAACGTCTTCACGATGAAGCATCCAAGGTGCCACTGGCTGCAACATGAAAAAAACAGATCAAACAGGTCAAGCAAGTGGCCATGGCCCTTTTGAATCTCACAACTTACAAGACCAGTTTTTTTTGGGATTACCCTCTGGTAATTTAACATAGCTATTGAAAATGGCCATTTATAGTGGATTTTCCCATTAAAAATGGTGGATCTTTCCATAGTTATGTTAAATTACCAGAGGGTAATATTTCTAGACATTTTGACCCATAGCTGACCCATAGCTGACCCGAAACTCCAAGGATCATCCCACCAACTGAGACCCTCCGAGATCGACATCGACGTCCTCCGGATTCGCGCGTTTCCAAATGCGCCGCCACCGGGTCCAAGAAACCGGCAGCTGAACCGGCCTCACCTTTCGAGATGAGAAGGGAGGGCGTTGGTTTCTACTGATAAAAACCCCTAGGCCCTAAGTTGGTGAAGCTAATTCCAACAACAAGATACTACTTGTGTAGGCTATATTGATGTATATATAATTACAGTATATGAGTATATGGCAACTAAAACTATAGCCAATGGGCTTCAAAAAAAACACGTTTCTTTTTAGCATATGGGCCCACCTTGTGCTGACCTAATGATGATTCGTAGCTGTATCATGTTAGATTCTTCCGAATTATGTTGTCACAAAAAAAAAATCTTCAGAAGTGGGTTATAGCTTATAACATCTTATCTCAGTACAACTGTGATGTATTGGAACCTCAGCTCCACTGGCAAATTCTGTCAGCGGGTAGCGGGACCCATCAATGGCTAATCGCCGAGTTACCATCAGGTTGGACAACGGGACAACTCAATTCGTCAATTCGTAGCTTTCCATCTAGGGAATATGGATATCCCATGATATCCCTAGCTCCTTAGCTAATTTAGCTGGCTATGATCCATCTGGAGGTTTGGATGGTGATCGTCATTGCTCGTCCCTATGTGATTTCGGCAGCCATCAGCAGCACGAATGCAATAAAACAACATGCAAAATGGAAGTGCCAAACAACAATTCCAATCCCATATGCTTCATGTATGGAATATTTACCAACATTTGCTTTAGAAATCACCCAGTTTTGTAGGTAAATATACCATACATGGAGCATATGGGAATAGTCAATTCTCAACTGGCTTCTGATCAATGCAACCCGCATGACCCGCCAATCCTAGGTCACAGAAACTCCCCCCTTTTTTTGCTTAGTGGGTGAATAAACCATTTGTACATGGGGCCAATATGGGCCAATGATATAATCCCCAGTCACCAATCTCAGCAATCATCAAAACTAGACCACATTTGGATGAACATTCACCCAATGATGGCCCGATAAAGAACCATTGTGCTTGGAGAACTCCCTATTTCTTCTGCCTACTATTGTGGGCAACATGGTTGAATCTGTACTTTGGTGGCAAAGCAAATTTTGGAAAAATCGAAACCCGACCATTTCTAGGCAATTTAAATAAACTTCTGGTGTCTTATTGGTTTCTGATTAGATAAAATTAGATATTAATAGTGTAGTTAAATACTGCTGAACATCCCCATTTTGATTAGTCAACTGGTTAACCCCACCTTTCCTGTGTTCATAATAACACCCCAACAAATTATGTAAACAAGTAAAATCCGACTAACAGTGCCACATGAAATCATGTTTCTATGTTTCCGGTCGTAATTAAAAATCGACCTTCTTGACGCAACTCATATAAAACCACATTAGCAAGTTAAAACAATCTCAAAACAATGAAACACACAGCAAACTAGATCATCTAGAACACACACGTTCTTCAAAAACCCAATCATGTTCAAACCAATCAACATCAACCATAAAATCATCCCCAAGTTAAACACATAACCCTATAGTCAACCCATGCATTTTCGCCACATCCCCAAGGTTCAACGGTTTTCCCCATGCCATGGTGGGATCCACCGGGGCACCTGGGAACAGCAGGAAGTCCAGCGCCACGCGCCACACCGCGCGGCTCGCCTCGGCACCGTACTCGGCGCCGGGGGTGCCGCTGCCGCTGAAGCCCGTCTCGGCGCGCAGCGCCTCGGGCCTCGGGCACCGGGCACCGAAGGTGGGAGGTCACCGAGGCGAACATCTGGGTGAGTTGAGTGGTTTTAACATGGTTTTTATCATGTTCTAAGAAAAATGGTGATTTAAGGATGATAAATGGTGTCTTTAAGCATGAAAAATAGGGGTTTAACCATGAAAAAGAATGACTTAACGATGAACAATGGTGATTTCATAGGGATTCACCGTCCAAAATAAGGATTGACGCACTAGACATTGTGGTATTTTCTGGGGGTAGAATGGAGATACAGCGGGACAACCAAGCACAATGGGAAATCATCAAACATGGCTGGCTGGTTAGGAAATCCACGAACGAAATATCGGTTTCTAGCTGGGGAAATGACATGAACTGTAAATGGCGATGTTCTGTTTGCACGTTTGATTTCCAGACGGTAGTTTAGATCCGATCAAAAATACATCTTAACTCCGAAACAACACACTATAATGGAAATGCAAATTTTAATTGAGATTTATTGTTTGGAGTAGTTACACCCAAAAATGCCGTGTGTTGCCCAGACATTACCATCGAGGATAATGTTGTGTTGTTGAATATGATAGGATAGATTGCAGAAAGGTATGTGCAGTGTTTTCTGGTTTAGGATTCAAAGTTTTCGCGGTTTAGGTTTAAGGTTTTTAGGTTTTAGGGTTTAGGGCTTAGGGTTCGTCGTCTGGAAAATCTCAAGACACTAAACATCATTAATTTGAACTTTCCGGGCAACACACAGCGCCTGGCCGTAGTTATACTGAAAAATCAGAGGACTATTTCCTGTAATTCTACTTCATAGGCTAAAGCCAGATATGCTAGTTTGCAATGTTTTGCACTGCAGGTTTGTGAGCAAAAATCATACACATTCATACATGTATTGCCACACGGATAAACAACCTTGATGCCATATACTGCACGTTTATCTTGCAACGGATACAAACTTGCAGACTAACTCTCGACAGATTTGCCCCTTTTTTCAGCATGTCATGAATGGTTTCGATTGTTTCCCATGTTTGATACTTAAGTCCCCATGTTTGATAGCTGGTTGGTGGTTTTAACCATCTTGACAAATATTAGTCAATGGGAAGGATTATCCCATATACTATGGAAAACAATGTTCCAAACCACCAACCAGCCCATGTTTGATAGTTAAATCCCAATCAAATCCCATATGGTTGAACCCCCCAAATTTTCAATGGTTAGGCCGTATTTTTTTTATGGTTGAACCCCCCCACAATAAAATACCATGAAACGATGGGTTCAACCGTTCAACCCAAACATAAATCCCAAATCAACACCCATCGTTTCGTCATTCTGGGTAAATTAGAATATTTCACTAACCTGAATCTTGCGGCCATTTGGGGATCATTTCCCTAAAATAAACATAAATAAACCATGATTCCAGGGTTCGGGAGAACAGTGAGGTCGTTAGAATTTACCCAGATGTTTGATAGTTAAATCCCAATCAAATCCCATGTTTTATGGTTGAACCCCCCCAAATTTTCCATGGTTAACAAGGCACCCATCGTTTCATCATTCGTACGTCGCGTCTCCTTCGCGGAACTCCGAGGCACGTGTCTTCGTAGACCTTGGCCCAGTTGGGGATCAGGCCATTGGACTCGCACTGCGTGGCGTCGAACATCTTGTAGCTCGTGTCGATCAATCCTTGACCGAGCGCAGATTACTCGCAGGCAGGTCGTGTGACTTATGTTTTTTGGAAGACAAGGAACCTGATTGAGCCATGAAATAGAAAATAAAACTAGATTAAGGTTGATTGGTATAGGGACTTATACTTACACTAATCTAATTTTGGGAATGAGTGGCTCAGCATGGCTCAGACAACCAGGATGGGAGGGTATCCACACAGCAGTCTGCCCATGTAACATGGATTAGTTCTATTTAACAGTTTGCGAACTGGAAGCCATGGCCCATTTAGTTCGATGATTTACCTATAAAACATGGTGATATTGGATAGCTATGTGAAATTGCCAGAGGGTATCAAAGGCTACAGCATGTCCAACGTTTGCCTTTTTTCTGACGTTGAATTCAGGGACGCAACAGGACCATGTGGGTGACTAGATCAACGAAGGTCAACTTGGGATGCAGACAGCAGAAGATGGAGGCAAAACCATAGTCCACTTGGATCCTAATTACTTTCATATAACATGGTAATATAATTAATATAATTATACAGTATATATATAATATACACATCCTTTTGTGATCTTTTGTGTGTGTTCTACAAATCTCAAGCCACATGAATCGGGCAACCCAAGGATCGATCCCAGTCAGAGGCAAAGTCATCACCCTCCGAGCCCGACGTGCCGAACTTCGCGTCGTGTGACTTCCTTAAGGCTTCGTCCCAAGATAGGACGAACTGGAAATGCGACTGTCTTGGTGAATGACCATATAGTATTATAATGTATTGTATATATATATATGTTATAAAATGTATGAACACATATTATAGAATTCCTTGTTAAATCCGAGTTGTAAACAATCGCTAGGGCTATAACCGAGTGAATCAGCACCATGATGGAATCAACATGAAAAACTAGCTGGTTTTCATTTTCAAAGAACTGCAACATTATCTGCAAGAAAACTGCAATTAAATGAGAAGGCCAGTTGAATTATGTTGAAGTCCAATTCGTCTTCAACTTGACCTTTCATGACCTTGGTTGCTTCTTGTGATTGTATGCCACTTTGTTGTAGCTACCAGTACTAGGCCTTTCAAGGATCAAGAGTCTGAATGAGCACAATTCAGGCTGCAAGAAACCTTCATGTTTGCATGTCTTGAAGCGCCAAAAAAAAAGAAAGGCTCCCCTACCCCAACTTCAGACATCTCTAGAATCAAGAAAACCCTTCAGACCACCAAGTCTCATGTAGTCTCGGCACATGCGATAGACCCCCGGCGCGTGGTAGCTGGGATTCTGCCCCTGGCTGCCCCAGCCACCCCAGCAGGAGCCCAGCTTGACAATGCGATGAGCGCCCGAAGAGGAGGAGACGGTGGAGCTTAGGTAGAACCTGGGTAGACATCTTGGAACCATTGGCAGCCCCAAAATCGCCACGTGAATGGATGTTTATTCCCCCAGTCATATCCCATATGCAACCCATGGTGCTGGAATATTTACCTACAAAACTGGGTGATTTTTCGGGCAAATGTTGGTAAATGTTCCATACATGGAGCATATGGGTATGGTAATAGGTTTGACGCATGCCCAATTGGATCCTGGTGATTTTTGGAGTCGATTTTGACCATTAGATGCTTTCGGAAAGCCCTGCAGTAACCCTTTAGAAAAGATTAAAACACTATATATCAGTCGCCAGCATTTTGATATCGTAGAATATGTCACTATATGTCACTTGTTATTCATATCTTGTAGGCTTTTCCTAGATCATTTAAGGATTTATGGATTTTGATGATTTTCGGAACATCATCATGCCACTGTCTGGGACCACCGAGACCACTGGGACCTCTGGAACCACATCAAATCCCTGGCTGTGTCTGCAAAGCTGAAGAAGCTGCTTTTGCCAAAAAAAATGTCACATGACTACTCAAATCTAAAGCCAAATCTGAATCTAAATCTAGAAGATATGAATAATATATGCAGAACTCCGCACATATCTGCTATGTTAGGATTTTTAACTCACCCACCATTCGGTTTATTTCTCCATGGCTTGGTACCCATCCTCTTCTGGCCCCCTCCAGCGAAAAAAAGCCACTGTTTGCAAGTCTCATAGGTCCACTGAGCAACCTGCCGGAAAAACACGGGGGCGCACGGATTACCACATCCCCCGTAGAAAAGGTGTGGATTGTCTTCCCCCCAGTGTCATGTCTTTCAGGATAAAACATCCCTTCATACCAAAAATATTGTGACCATATATCCTATAGACATGTATGTGCGGAACAATGCTAGCGGCATGTTGGTCACTGCCTATGTACAGTATTTGTCTGAGTCTAGGTAGCAACTGTTTGATCTTACATACATCCTCAACATCTATCTCTCTCTCTCTCTATATATATATATATACGTAATGTAATTACAGTGAAACAAAAACATATAATTAGAACAGTTGGAAACCTGCAAATCATGAGGGCAAGGATCATCTATGTTCCATCCCGATTTTTATTCCTTCGATCTATTTGGCTTTGGGTCAAAATAAAACGCCAAATTGAACAAATTGAATGGTTCCCCCGTTAATGACACTTTGTGTGTGGTGTGCTCCCTTAGGTTTCCAATTTTGACCCATTCCCATGTGTGGGGATTGCCGTAGGCCTCCAGCCTCCCAGATGAAAAATGGACATTTGTTTGAACCATTGCTCCCAAACACCAATATCATCAATATTTATGGTGAGATATGATGGGAGCCATGTGAGATCGTCCGTATATATATATATATATATAACATATCATATATATATATATCTCTATCTGGGTAAATTATAATATTTCACTGACCTGAATTAAGGCTAGTTGGGGATGATTCCCCTTACTAACCATGATTCCAGTGAGGTCGCAGTGAGGTCGTTATAATTTACCCATATATATATCTACATATATTAGTAGTATATATTAAATAATATATATAATTATATATATATATTTATTGATTATATATATATATGTATTATCATCTCATATGATGTACGCGATGCGGTCAACCCAATCATGGACCATCTCAGCAAATAACCACCTGGCCGACATGTTATGTCATCCCGAACAGGTATACCCAGACATAAACACCAATTGGATTCAAGATATATAAAGGGGATTTATGAATGGTTAATGGTTAATGGTCAGGAGGGTTGGTGAACACCAATTGGATCCAATTGGTGATCAATTTATGGCATTGGGCATTGGGTAAACACCTCAAAATTTCCTCGAAGATTGACACCTTTGCTCCCCACACCCAAATCTATACAAGGAGGACCATTGGCATAATCAAGCGGTAACGTGTAGTAAGAATACCAATTTTCGCCGATCAAAATCATTCAGTCTATGGAATGATCATTCAATTATCTACGGTTAGAGCAGCCAGGTTACCCTCTGGTAAACTAACAGTTTGCTATTGAAAATGACCCAGTCCAAATAGTTGATTTACCCATTCAAGATGGTGATGTTCCATAGTTTTCTGAAAACGTTTACCAGAAGGTACCCCAAAGATACCCTCTGGTAAATCAACATAAGTATGGACAATTACCATTTTTCATGGGAAAACTCACTATTTCAATGGTGATTTTCCATCGTTTTTTGATTTTTTTTGTATGTTTACCAGAGTGTATCTCCATTAAATCACCATTAAATCCCATTAAATCCCATGAAATCCCATTAAATCACCATTGTCCCCTGACATTCCCATTGTTAGTTTACCAGAGGCTATCTCCACCATCGCTCCACAGATCCACGGGATCCACGGGATCCACGGAGTCGCCTCCTCCAGCCACGGTGCGGCCTCGGCCGTCCGTTCCAGGGACAGCACCGCGAAGAGCATCCCAGCGAGGGCATCTGCGTCGCCGTCCGGGGCTGCACCTGAGGATTTTCCATCGATTTTCGAGAGCAAAACGATCCAAAAGTCGCCATCCCGGCAGCGAAAATGAGGATTAAACATGATTAAACAGTGATTAAACAACTAAAACATGAGATAAAGTGAGTATTGCCACCAGCAAACAAGTGGGATTTTGACAAGACACATGTTAGATTTAAGATGATGTGAGGTGAAATGTGGATTTAAGCAGCATTAATATGGGTCTTAAGCAGGACTAATGTGATTCAACCAACAGAACTAGGCATTTACCAGCAATCAAATGAGGTTACTGCAATCTAAAAAATCAGTTTTTTTAGGGGCCCACCTTGGGGTTTTGGATGTGTTTTTAGTCCCCAGGGATTTGTCAGCAACAGAATTGCAGACCCAAGAGTAAATTGAATCTCGAAGTAACCATCAAGAATCATATATAATGTAAACATGTGGTTCTTAGTACCAACATTTGGGGGTAACATGTCCATTTTTTGTGTATCAAACATGGCTGGAAAATCCAGTGGGAAAATCAACGCACTGATTTTCCAGCGGAGCTGATAACCAGAGGGTTGAAATTTCCCGAGGTATTGCGGCTGAACATCAAGAAATCAGATACCCTCTGGTAATTTAACATAGCTATTGAAAATGGCTATTTATAGTGGATTTTCCCATTAAGAATGGTGATGTTCCATTGCTATGTTAAATTACCAGAGGGTACCCTCCGGTAGTTACCTTTACATAGCTATGGAAAATCACCAGTTTTTCCTCAATACAAAAAACATGGGCCATTTTCGCTATGTAAACGTTTTCTGGAGGCTAAAGTATAGGTCCTGCATCCTAAACGGCACCAAGAACTTAGATTTTCACCAGGAAAGAACACAAACTAGAAGAATGCCATCCAGAGAGAAGCAATCATTTATCGAGATCAATGAACCTATATATCCCATAATTGTTGGTTGTAATATTAGTGTATATATATATGGGGCTCAGCATATATATATATATCGTTATATATCCCATTTCACCCCCATGATCTCCCCATAAATGCTTGGTCAAAATCACGTCAAATCGTCTTTGGTGCTTTTTTGCGCCTGATCCAATGACGTTCTTGAGATCATCGTCAAACTTCCAGTGCGGCAAACATGGGAACTGTCCACCTCCACATTGAAAACCTTCGTCGTCTTGACAGCTGCCACTCGCCTGCACATGAGAAGGTCCCAAACACAACTGCACCCCCCTACTAAACCATGGTTTTACGGGGCACGTATAATATTAGGGGGCTGGGATTATTGAACAAACAATGGGTGAATTATAGTTGGTTAGTTATACCATTTTATTCCCATAAAATTATCCAACAATATCACCATTTAGTTCAATGATTTGCCCATGAATATACCATTCAAACATATTCAAACACCATTGATGATTTTCCCATTAATATTCAATTTAATCATCTACAGAATTTGCCCACTCATATACTGGATATTAAACAATTATTAGTGGGAAAATTCATGAAAATAAACTGTAAATGATGATTAACCCAATAATTTATATAATTGTCTCACTCCCATATGCTCCATGGTGCTGGTATATTTACCTACAAAACTGGGTGATTTTGTTCGGGGAAATGTTGGGATTCATATTCCAGCACCATGGGTTGCATATGGGACTAATATACCACGATTCAACAACCGATCCTTGAAGTGACTGGATCAATCCACAAGTGCCCTCCCGCTGAGCGCCTTGGAAAGTTCACACATGCGCCTCCATCCCAAGAACATTTCCTTAGTGGCGCTGATTCCTTATCGGAAATCAGAAAAACAAAAAAAAACATGAGCAATCCCCTATACATGGAAAAATCATCTACAAATGGGGGTTTTAATTATGTTTTTTTTTCTCTCCCTGGAGATTCAATCTAAATGTCGGATGGTATTTTGTAGGCCAAGACCATGGTTCCGGAATGTGATTTTCGAACCCCCAATCATACTGGAACTCAGTGGGATGCGATCCCAAAGGGCATTGGAAGAACGTGTTCCGTCCGAGTTTGATGCTGATGCGGCCTATCTCTTATAGAATTAAATATAGACACAACTCACCAAGCTATGGAAATCCAAACATAATGGATATAGAGTCCTAACTTGACCATGGCACATTTAGTTCGTTGATTTACCGAACTTCAAAATGGTGATTTTCCATTGCAAACTGTTAACGTTTACCACAGGGTAGCCGTATTTCTATACACAAAACTCAGCAGTTGTCAGGTTTCATAGGTGTAGTCCATGAGCTTTTGTCGATCTTGATCTTCAGGCATAGCAGCCAGCAGGGCACCGGACAAAAGCAGACCATACCTCAGGAGAATCAGAGAAAAAAAATCCCAGGGGAAATCAACGTCGTCAACGTGGGTCCCTCGTAAATAATGTTTCATAGTGAAAAGGATGCAACAAGTTTATCTGGTTGGTGGTATACCTACCCCTCTGAAAAATATGAAAGTCAGTTGGGGTTACTATTCCCAATATATGGAAAAATAAAAAATGTTCCAAACCACCAACCAGTTTATAGTTATTGGTTCATGTTGGTTCATATTAGTTCATATTGGTTCATAGTCTGCATTCGTAAAAAACCAGGCAGACAATCAGCAGATCTTCATTCCATACACGCCCGTTTTTTTTTTGGGCCGTGACAAAAAACAACAGCCATTTTCATAGCGAGAAACAACAGCATGCCACAAAAATCCAGCACAACATGACCTTTGGACAGATTTGTTCAAACAACACAAAACCTCAAAAAACCACCGAGGGTCACTTGTCCATCAGTGTAGTATAGTGTAGTAGTGTTTTTTTGGTTTAAATAGTGTTACGTATAATAAACAAGATGCTGCACCTCCAACCATTTTTACCAGCACCTTGTATAGGTGTGACAACACATGTTCCCTCACTACTTTCGCCATCAACTTCGCGGCTGGAAGCTCCCTGTTGCGCCAACGTTTCAACCTTTGAACCTCCCAAAGAGGGGAAAACAAGGGGAAACCCATGCTTAAAACCCTGGTGATGCCCTGATGTTGCTCATCTCCAAAAAAAAACGAACCAAAAGTAGCCAGAGATCTCAATATATCCATCGTATCTTACGGTTATGGCCCGAAATACCAGTTGTAAGTCAGTTATATATGCGCCCATTTATGGAATGATAACCCCATTTATAACCATTTATAACCAGTTAGAACTGGTAAAGGCCCTTAACCGTCACGATGAGGTCTCAGCTAACAGCAGTTTGACCTAAATGAAAAATTGGATGATTTTGGTACTTTGACATTGACCATTGACCCATGTTCATTTATCGTGTGAAATCGTGTGACATATTTAATTCGCACTTTGAATGTCAATGAGATTATTGGTTGTTGGTTTTCATATATATATATATTATACATATACAGTATATATACAGTATATATATATCTACACTAATCTGGCTGAATTAGAATAATTCACTAAAGTGAACATAGATCAAATAAGGCCGTGTGGTGACGATTCCCCTTACTAACCATCATTCCAACAAAAAAATCACCCTGAGGTCGTGATCAGATTCATCCAGTCAGATATATTAATCATAGATATATTCCAATTATGTTCCCTTTTTTTGTTCATTGTATGTATTTCATTGTATTTCATTGTACGATATTTATACCAACCAGTTACCATCCACATATATCTCAGAATAATTCATCCCGGTGGATTAAAACACTAATTGAACTTCATTAAAACCCCTTTTATAGATGAGTTTCATGGATTCTCCAAGGGTTTACTATATTGATTTAACTACAGACCCCAATGATATTGATTCAACTGATTATGATATTCCAATGATATTCCCATGTTTTGTTTATTTTACCATATTATACCACTATATACCATCCAAGTATCATCCAGATATATACCATCCATGAATCCATTGCTGACCCATTAGTTTCCCTATTAAAAGAACCATTTGGGGGGGTATACACCATTTTCAGACAGACCCATTTAACCAAACTCCACTTATCATCCAGTTATCATCACTATTTAATTAGATCTTTATATCATCTTATACCATAGTGATGATAGACCATACTACATACCCTCTGGTAATTTAACATAGGTATTGAACATGGCCCATAGAAATAGTTGATTTACCCAAGATGGATTGATTGTCCATTGCAAACTGTAAATCTTACCAAAGGGTAGTACCGTATTTAGGATATTGATTCAATATTGTATACCATATAGTATACGATTATTTATATACCATAGTGATGATATACCATATGACATACATTTATATACCATTACCCTCTGGTAAAGTAACAAAACTTTGGAAAATCACCATTTTTGATGGGAAAACTCACTATAAATTGCCATTTTCAATAGCTATGTTAAATTACCAGAGGGTATTCCAGATATGGATTTCACATGATTTCACTCAAACCCCCATCTTTAAGGACCTTGAACCGCCATGGCTCTCGCGGCCGGGCCATGCCGGGCCACCCTTGGCTCTCGCTGACCACGCCCCCAGCCGCGCCGCCCGAGGAATGCACGGCGCGGGCCCGTGACCCGGGCACCGGCTGATCCGTCAGCGCAGCGATGAACTCGAAGAGGCGGGCCTTGCCTCGACCAATGGCCATCTATAGTAGGATATACCCTCTACCCTCTGGTGAACTAACATAGCAATTGAAAATGGCTATTTCTAGTGGATTTTCCGATTAAGAATGGTGATTTTCCATTGCTATGTTAGTTCACCAGAAGGTAGTAAATGAACATAGACCCTGAAAATCACCAAGTTCTAATGGACACTAAGTTGGTTTATATTTAGTACCCATGACGGATCCATGGTGCTGCTATATATGGTAACATGGATCCCATCAATATACCCCCTTTATGTTAGCATATATACCATATATGGATCCTATGGGTAGTAGGATATAATGAGAATACAACGGGAATATCCCACGGCCAGCATATTATATAGGGAGATATCCCATGTCAGCATTATAGTTGTGAATATAGATATCATGGACATTCTTTTTTGGGGGATGTGGTGAAGTTGGATGGGATGCGAATTCTGTAAGTTGATGTAAGTTGTTGATGGAGCCGTTTTAGATCCATATTATTATATATATATATATTTAACGCGGGATATATCCTGTCAGCTAAATCATACTATGTTCATATCAAAACTCTGGAGATATCCTATAACATCCTGCGACTGGCTTGTAACAATATCATAACTATAGTGACTTGGCTGCACAACCAAGAAAGTAATCATGCATGGGAGGACAAGGACCGGTGATACTACAAGAACTGAATGAGAGATGTTGACTGGGAGGATACTGTTATCCCTCATGTAACTTGAACACTTGTATGATTTTGATCAAACATGATCAAACACAATTTCACCGACCTGACTCTATGTGGTGATGTTGAATAGTATTTTCCCATCGCTATGTCACCAACCCTGCTGATAAGAAGTTGCGACCACCTCGCAACTTCTGGGTCCATCGCTTAGTGGCTTATGCTGAAAAATCACCTGAAATCATATGAAATCCCCTTCTTCATCCTTCTTCTAAATTCTAGCTCGCTTGTTCTAAAATATGCCCAAGTCACATTCACTTACTCAATCGCATTTGGGGGATATGCGGCCCCCATTTTGAAGCAAGTCGCCCGAGCCCGCTGAGTTCGTCACAAAGACCTGCCCCGGTGCTGGGTTCGGCGACGTCGTGGTGCCACCCGTGGTGCCCGGCGACGATGTCGTGCCAGGCGAGGTGCCGGTGGTGGTGGTGGTGGTGCCGGGCGTGGTGGTGGTGCCGGGCGTGGTGGTGGCACCAATGACGGCACAGGTCCAGGGGGTTTGGAAGTCCTGGGATGCCAGTCGCATGGGATCTCGACAAGGCCAATAAAAATGAAATCAAGGTGGGATTTCTTAGATTTACCATCAATACAATATATTTATATCCCCCCTTTCTTGGCTTTCTCATCATGAACAATCCCCCGGGTGACATTTAAGCATTTCTCTGACCCAAAATGAGTCGCCCTCTTTTGCGTCAGGCATCCGGATCGTCGTTGGGATTCACTTCGCCAGGTTCACAGCTCTGACGACACGAGGCCCAGTATTCGTTCTTTTCATAGCCTTGCTGCGACGTCAGTGGACTGTCTGAGCAGTTGGGGCCAGGCTACTAGCAGAAACCACCGTATCAGTAAACCATGTTTTTTTTCTCCCAAACATAGAGTATCCCTCCAAGGGTTTTGATAATTTTCCCACTAATTGATATTATTTACCCTCCAGTAAATTAACATAGACCCTGCCAGATCGGGGTTGGAAGACTAGTTTCCACTATAAATTGGTGATTTTCACGGTCTATGTTAAGTTACCAGGGGGTAATCTTTACATGTGAGATCATTTGAGGCTAATATCGCCCATGTTGGACACACCTACATCATTAATGGAGGTTAAAAAGAGCCGCAGATAGATTTTCCCATAAAAAAATACCATGTAAGGTGGTATACAACAAATGTTCAAACACACCGCTCCGATCCGAAAGCAGTGATTTGATATAATATGATATGATATGATATGATAGTATGATATGGGTATGGGTGAAAACCTTGGTACCTGGTGAAACCAACAATCGTTGGTATAGTAACTCCACTGCACATAGAAAAGCTGGAAACCTCGAACTACGAGGTAAATATCATCTATAATAATCTATATACCATCCGGGAAAGACTTCTCATCTTTTTGAGTCTTCTTGGTGGTACTTTTTTATGGATGTTCATCCGTTCATCCCCACAAAAAGAAGGCTGTGGTAGTTTTAACTCATCCCCATATTGCATTGTTTGATGTACTTTGGACAGGCGTGCAGTTACGACATGTGACTGCAGGAGGCGATCAAAAAGATCATCCAACCAAGTCTGAGTAGCATGTGAAGCCTGCATCTTCACAACAAGCGCTGCTTCGACAGTCTTGCCCCGTAGTAGCGCACATGCCAGAGCCACTATCAGTGGTGGTGGTTGTGGTCGTTGGCCCTGACAAACATCCGGACATGTGGCAAGTTCGGAATCATCCAAGTGGGTTTGTCTCAAAACATGGTACCTTGGGTACCTTGTTATGGCCGATCATAATTGTCCCAAATTAAACTAAAATGACACTGCCATAAATTGGAGCACGTAGATATAGTTACTTCAGGTAGGTACTTATCTATCTAATTCTATCTATCGATCCATCTATCTTACCAAATTTTACCTTACTGTACCCTACCCTACCCTTCTTGCTGTCTCGCACCTGTGGTGGGCGCCGTTGTGGTCGTGCCCGTGGTGCCCGTTCCCGTGCCAGAACCCAGGCCGGAGCCTGCCGGATCATGGGAGAATTCATGGGATACCCGATACGGTAATTTAAGTAGTTGATATACCATGAAATACCCCATGAATTCTATTTATAATGGGCTATACCAATTTCTACCAATTTCATGAAATGGGGTAATTTTGCAGTAGTTTCAACTGAACATACCCCATTTATAGTTGATATATGTTGATATATGTTGATATACCTAGCCACAAAATGGTGATTTTCTATTTTGTAAAGTTTACCAGAGGGTCATATTCCCAATACATCGGGGATCGAAGAGATCATGGGATAATAACATATAAAGTCATCATCCCCAGCACAAAACCGGTACAACGTTCCTTTCCAGTTTTCATACGCTGCTTTGAAGTGATGGAAAGTTGACCCATCGTAGATTTTCCATTGCCAGGTTGGAAATTGTTGGATTGCGAAAGCGCATATGAACAAAACAAGCATGGACTTATGATTTCAAACGTGTTTTTTTGTGTGTTAAAAATACCATATACCAGATGGCAAGTTCTTTCTAGTAATTAAACACTTCAACTAGAAGTAAACATCTTCAACACGTTAAATCGTCTAGCTCTTCTATTGCCAGAACCTCTTTTCAGTTCTCCCTCAACGTATATCTAGCAACTGGTTCTTTGCCATTTGGGAGGCAACCTTGGGTACAAACTGAATTGGTAGCCACATGAACTCTGGACTCATGGGAATCATCTGAACATCCAGTTCCTCAACTAATATCATCCCATAAACAGCACATCTAAAAAAATAAGGATCATTGTTCCAAAGTAGCCATACAAACTCTGCCAACGAAGTGAATGGGCCCCTCAGTCTCAGACTCTTCTGCAACACTTGTTAGCACTTGCAAGGTGGTGACCCCCAGTTTTAAGTTGGTTTACAGACCGCGTTAACTGCAGAAATATGATATATCTAGCAGAAGTCTGAGCTAACCTATAGTCATCTCCAACCGGACATCTATATCATCAGCTGAAACTCTACCAAAACAAAATGCCATCTTGGCTGCAACCTCTATCCATGACTCAAGGGAAAAAACACCTCTAAAGATAGAACAGTGTTTCCAGGAGCTTTGAGATGCTATTCAATTATTCAATTCATCTCTCCCGGTTTCCAACCTTTTCTATCCATTTTTGGGGTTGCTGAAATTATAAACCAACATAGCTCTCAGAACAAAACCAACATAGCACACACCACCGTCCACCGTGGCCACCGTGGCCACCGTGGCCCCAGGTTCCCGCCTTGTGCCGCCCGCGCCAGGTCGCCGTTTAACGTGATGGTACTGATGGCCACCCAACTCCCGGAGTAGTAGTCATCAATGGCCTCGCAAAGAACGACGCCACGGCGTGACGTGTCAAGCCATTGACTTTTTTTTTGGGACGTGTCAAGCCGTGTTCCATATATTTTATGAAGGGGTTTTCCCATATAATTCATGGGGAACATTTCAACATGGTGTGTAGAACTTCCTGTGAGATCATTCTGAGGCAAGGCTTGATGTTCCGAATGCAGCTCAAATCATTGAGAAACACAGTGATTTACCGATTTCCACCATTCACAAACAACTTTTTCTTGATGGAAATCCTCCGAAGCCCTTCCAAAGGTGCTCCCCCAAAAAAGATGGTTATTCAACTGTTATTAGCGGTTGTGGTTAATAAAACCCTGTAAAGCATACCCATAAAACCTACTATTGGAGAGATCATCCATTTATAGTTCCCCCCACAAAAACTATATCCAATCCATTACTAGATCCTCATTAAAATAGGTCCACTACTCGATCAGTTTATAGAAGCACTAGTAAATGTACTGAGAAACTGAGCAAGTAAAAAACATATCCCATATTATCCCATCTATAAATCGGTAAACTAACTATGGTTACTCAGAAGGTTATGAATGATTAATTATAACATGTATTAACCAACACATATGCCATCTATGGGTGAATTCATCACATGATCCCATCGAAAACGCACCTTGCTGGCCACACGCTTTCCCGCTGCATCGATCAACTCCTGTTGTCGCCCGGAATCCACCTGAGGCTTCCGCAAGGGGATGGCACAGACACACCAAAAACATCTCTTCTGTCGTGGCAAAAGCATGTTTAAAACACCAGTTTTGATGGTTAGAGTTAGACATAGTTAGACCATGTTACAATGTTTAAACATTTTTTCATGATTGAAGGATCTTTTCTTAAACAATCATCATTTCTTCAGGCTCAAAAACACCAAAGTGTTCTCCATGTCGCGTGACGATCCGTGACCGCCCAAGGTACAGAGTTCGAAGGACAAACCAAGGAGGTGAAGGTTGGTCCGGCCATGAACATATTAGAGGACCTGGCGCGCCGCTAGGGATGTATTTTAACAGATGCAAAAGAAAATGGTGGTTGAAGTGGTGCAAATGCTGGCTGAACCGTGAGCAATTTGAACCATGAAACATGGCGGATTCGGACGTCACCGACCAATTCCAATGGACAAACATGGTGGTTCAATCGACAGAAGGTGAAAAACATGATGAAGAACCAAAGCAAACCGTCAAAGAACCCACTTAGCCTGCTTGTGTGTTTTCAGCTTATCTGGGGTCTTTGACATGCACGAATACCATGCCTAGACTTGGTAAAAAATCCATGGTATTCCCGTCGATTTGCCCATCAATGAATCCCAGTCTTGATTGTTTTCCCTTCAATAAATCAAGCTCAATAAACTCCGAGAATCGATGAACCGGGCCAACTTTTGGTGTGGAAACTCATATCTTTCCCTTATTTTGCAGGCTTCTCCGTTAGTTGAATGGTGAAATCCCAACCAGCCCTGTTCCCAGCGGGGACCATCCCGGATGAATGCTCTCCACCAGGCAATTTCCATCCACGCGCAGCGACTCGTCCCAGTTGCCCCCCGACTCGCGGGTCTCCTCGCAGCGGGCTGGGAATAGAAGTAATCTGAAAACCTGAAATGAAGAATCGCACACTGTTAGATGATGATTTGCTGGCTTTCTCCTGTGGTCTTGTAGATTGCACTGTTCAACAAGAACTTATATAATCAACAAACACTGGGGCATCTAACATGATTTAATCAACAAAACATGAGATAACAATCAGATGAGAGTGTCTGAACATGCTGATGTCGCTTCCAAAGTGGAAAAAAACATGAACACTGATCAGTGGATGCTTTGTTTCAGAAATTTTAGAGTCACTGCGAATGATTGGCCCATATCAACCATGTTTCCTTTCCATGACAACATCAAAATTTCGGTAGACGCCATCTACGGATGCGGAGGTTCTTGGGGAATCGTCAGCCAACGATGTAAAACAAAGAAGATAGTCCTACAAACTCGATGGGACCTATGGGCTCGGTACCCTCCGGTAATCAAACATAGCAGTAATCAGCTGTTTCACAATTTTCCACGAACCCGCTCCAAGCACCTTCTCAGACGGTACTTGGGGCTGGTTTTTGGGGGGCTTCAAACACCAAAAACGCTACTTGGACCGAAGAAATCCACTAAAATTCATGGACTATATCATATATATATATATATATATAGAGAAAGACAGTATATATATATATATATAGACAGCATATATGGATATTAGGATTATATGCCCCATGAAAATCATTAATCCCCAGAGATTTCGTTCATTTTTCCCTCCCCGTTGCCACGTGGCGCCCCGGTTCCCGCGTTCGCCGGGGCTCCAGATTCGCCGCCACGGGGTCCAGAAAGGCTACCGCCTCGCCGGCCTCGCCGGGGAACAAGAGGTAG